GGAGGCTGAGGCAGGGGGATTGCCTGAGCCCAGGAGTTCGAGGCCAGTCTGGGCAACATAGTGAGACCCCATCTCCTATTTTGTTCTATTCTATTCTATTCTATTCTATTCTATTCTATTCATTTATGAGATGGAGTCTTGTTCTGTAGCCCCAGCTGGAGTGCAGTGATACGATCTCAGCTTACTGCAACTTCCACTTCCTGGGTTTAAGCAATTCTGCCTCAGCCTCCCAAGTCACTGGGATTGCAGGCGTACAATACCATGCCCAGCTAGTTTTTGTATTTTTAGTAGAGACTGGGTTTCATGTTGGCCAGGCTGGTCTCAAACTCCTGACCTCAAGTTATCCACCCACCTTGGTCTCCCAACGTGCTGGGATTACAGGTGTGAGCTACCCGCACCCAGCCCCATCTCTACATTTAAAAAAAAAAAGTTTTCAAGAATAAAAACAAAAAGAAGGCCGGGTGCCGTGGCTCATACTTGTAATCCCAGCACTTTGGGAGTCTGAGACTGGTGGATCACTTGAGGTCAGGAGTTCAAGACCACCCTGGCCAACATGATAAAACTCTGTCTCTACTAAAAGTACAAAAATTAGCTGGGCATGATGGCCGGCGCCTGTAATTCCAGCTACTCGGTAGGCTGAGGCACAGGAATTGCTTGAACCTGGGAGGTAGAGGTTGCAGTGAGCCGAGATTGAGCAACCCCCCATTCCAGCCTGGGTGACATCGAGACTGTGTCTAAGAAAAAAAAATTTTTTAAAGTAAAAAGTTTTCAGGCCAACCTTCCAATAAACCCCATCCATCAGGCTCCTAGTCCTTGGTCACCATAAAGGATGGAAGACGCAAGATGCCATCTGCCCTGTCTTGCTGAACTGCTATTCTGACCCAACCTCCCACCTCTGCCCTTGCCCTTCCACCACTCAGTGGTCACAAACCCTATATACAACACCATTCTCCCCTCCTTGCCTTAGTGACATCATCTGTCAACTGGCTGTTCCTCCTTCTGTCTTCCCTCCCTCCCGCTCATTGGTTGAAGATTGAGGTCATCCCCCTCTTGCAATCCCTCTGTCTAGACAGGTCCTGTCGCTCTCAGTGACTCTGCTGTCCTTACAGCCTCTCTATTCATTGTCTTCCTCATCTTGAAAGATTCCACCGGCTCTCCCAATCACATCCAGGTAACTTCCCTCTTGAAAGCTTTTTGTCATATGCCTGTTCCCTTCTTGCTCCCCCCAGGGTGGACATTGGTTACCACTCTGGGATGGACACTGGGATGACCACAGTCATTGGGGAACCATTCCTCTCCCTTCATCAAACTGTTGTCCAGATGGCAGGTCCCCACTGCCTGACTCCCAAACTAGACCCATACTTTGACCAGAATGATTGACTCAATGATTTACAATGAGTAAATGATCATAATCAGGTTGGTCAGAGTCAGTGAGCTCCAGGCCTGAGACTTAGGAGCAAGAAAAGACTTCTATGGCCCTGTAATCCCAGCACGTATGGGAGGCAGAGGTGGGTGGCAACAGTTCAAGAGTTCAGGACCAGCCTGGCCAAAATGGTGAAACCCCATCTCTACTAAAAATACAAAAATTAGCCGGGCATGGTGGCGGGCGCCTGTAATCCCAGCTATTCGGGAGGCTGAGGCGGGAGAATTGCTTAAATCTGAGAGGCAGAGGTTGCAGTCAGCTGAGATCATGCCACTGCACTCCAACCTGGGTGACAGAGCAAGACTCTTGTCTCAAAAAAAGAGAAGACTTCTCATCTTAAAGCCAGGAAAATGTGGCTGGACGCAGTGGCTCATGCCTGTAATCCCAGCACTTTGGGAGGCCAAGGCAGGCAGATCACAAGGTCAGGAGATCAAGACCATCCTGGCTAATACAGTGAAACCCTGTCTCTACTAAAGCCTGTAATCCCAGCACTTTGGGAGGCCAAGGCAGGCAGATCACAAGGTCAGGAGATCAAGACCATCCTGAAGCAATACAGAAAGTGAAACCCTGTCTCTACTAAAAATACAAAAAAAGAAAAAAAAAAAAAGGCCGGGGATGGTGGCTGGCGCCTGTGGTCACAGCTACTCAGGAGGCTGAGGCAGGAGAATGGTGTGAGCCTGGGAGGCGGAGTTTGCAGTGAGCTGAGATCGCACCACTGCACTCCAGCCTGGGCAACAGAGGGAGACTCCATCTCAAAAAAAAAAGAAAAAGAAAAAAAAAAAGAGAGAGCCAGGAAAATGTATGATGTGTGTATTATTAGGTTTCTCCAAAGAAAGCTAATAGGAGGCAGGTAGATGAGAGGGGATTTATTAGGATAATTGGCTCATGTGATCATGGAGGCTGAGATGTCCTACCACACACATTGCAGACCCTAAAGCCAGTAGCTCCAGTAGCTGGAGACCCTGGAAAACCAATAGCGAGGCTTCGTCTGAATCCTAAAGCTTCAGAGCCAGGGACACCAGTGGTGTAATTCCAAGTCCAAGGTCGAAGGCCTGAGAACCAGGGATCACTGGTATAAGTCTTGTCAAGACAGGAGGAGGAGAGTGTCCCAACTCTGGGGAGGAAAATCCTTTCTCTCCTTTTTCTGTTCTATCGGAGCCCTGCAGATTGGATGGCGCTCACCCAGAAGTAATGCTTTATCAGAGAAGGTGTTGCTCTGTCACCCAGGCTGGAGCACAGTACTGTGATCTAAGCTCACTGCCCCTCTTGGGCTAAAGTGATCCTCTCACTTCATCCTCCTGAGTAGCTGGGACAACATGTGCGTGACCACCACACCCTGCTAATTTTCATATTTTTGGTTGAGACAAGCTTTCCACATGTTGCCCAGGCTTGTCTTGATCAAACTCAAGCTCAAGCCATCTGCCCACCTCGGCCTCCCAAAATGCTGATTGTAGGTGCGAGCCAGCGAGCCCAGCCACTGTTTTTTTTTCTTTGTCTTATTTTTACATCACAGCTCAAATCTGGGTATTTTCTAATCCAGCCAAGTTCACACCTAAAATTAACTATCACAGCACAGTGTGGTTGGAGGCAGGGAATATACCCAGATAAAGGAACTTGGCAGAGAGTGGAGCCAACCTAGAAGAAAGTGGAGCCAAAGCATGAAGCCAGAAAACACTATGGTGGTTCCTCGAAAAATTAAACAGAAACCAGGCACAGTGGTGAGTGCCTGTCATCCCAGCTACTCGGAAGGCTGAGGCGGGATGATCCCTTCAGTCCAGGAGTTCAAGGCCAGCCTAGGTAACATAGTGAGACCCAGTCGCTCAATAAAAAAGATAGAGATGGCAAATTTTGTGCTATATGTATCGTACCACCATTCTTTTTTTTTTTTTTTTTTTTTTCTGAGACAGTTTCACTCTGTTGCCTAGGCTAGAGTTCTATGGTGTCATCTTGGTTCACCACAAACTCTGCCTCCTGGGTTCAAGCAATTCTCTTGCTTCAGCCTTCCAAGTAACTGGGATTACAGGTGTGTGCCACCATGCCTGGCTAATTTTTGTATTTTTAGTAGCAGCAGGTTTTCACCATGTTGGCCAGGCTGGTCTTGAACTCCTGACCTCATGATTCGCCCTCCTCAGCCTCCCAAAGTGCTGGGATTATAGGCATGAGCCACTGCGCCTGGCCGCCAGGAGCCAATTTTTTTTTTTTTTTTTTTGAGATGGAGTCTCACCCTATCACCCAGGCTGGAGTGCAGTGGTGTGGTCTCTACTAAAAATACAAAAAAATAGCTGGGTGTGGTGGTGGGCGCCTGTAGTCCCAGTTACTTGGGAGGCTGAGGCAGGAGAGTGGCGTGAACCCAGGAGGCGGAGCTTGCAGTGAGCCAAGATCACGCCAGCACTCCAGCCTGGGCAACAGAGCAAGACTCCGTCTCAAAAAAAAAAAAAAAAAAGTTGGATGTGGTGGTGAGTGCCTGTAATACCAGCTACTCGGGAGGCTGAAGCACGAGAATCACTTGAACCCGGGAGGTTTAGTGAGCTGAGACTGTGCCTCTGCACTCCAGCCTGGGCCACAAAGGGAGACTCTGTCTCAAAAACAAACAAAAAAAACCCAGCATGGGCAACATGGTAAAACCCAATCTCTACAAAAATTACAAAACTTAGGTGTGGTGTGTACCTGCCATCCCAGCTACTCGGGAGGCTAAGGTGGGAGGATCACCTGAGGCTGCAGTGAGCCATGATTGCACCACTGCACTTAAGCTTCGTCCACAGAGTGAGACCCTGTCTCAAAAAAAAAAAAAAAAAGGCTGGGCGAGGTGGCTCACACCTGTAATCCCAGCACTTTGGGAGGCCGAGGCGAGCAGATCACCTGAAGTAAGGAATTCGAGACCAGCCTGCCCAACATGGTGAAACCCCGTCTCTACTAAAAACACAAAAAACTAGCCAGGCGTGGTGGCATGCACCTGTAATCCCAACTACTTGGGAGGCTGAGGCAGGAGAGTCGCTTGAAGCCGGGAGGCGGAGGTTGCAGTGAGCTGAGATTGCACCATTGCACTCCAGCCTGGGTGACAGGGCAAGACTGTCCGGAAAAAAAAAAAAAAAAGTGGATATTGAAGAAAAATTCCCCAAGAAGGGGGAGTGGAGAGCAAAGACAGTTGAAATATTGGGGCGGATTGTCTGGAGGTGGCTGACACAGGCAGCTGGCACGAGGGGGCAGCAGTGAGCTTCCAGGCAGCAGGGCCCACCCCAAGGGCGGTCCCTTCGCAGACCCAAAGTAGCAGGGGAACATAGACTGCAGGACCTCAGGTGCCTGGGCCCTGGGGGCACGTGTCCAGGATGGGTGATACGGGAGGTGGACAGGTTGCCTCTGCCTTCTGGAATCCAGGGATTAGGGCCTAATCAGGGGAAATCTGAGCTGCCTGAAGGTTGGAATTCAGGCAGAGCCAGCAGCCAGTGGGTTTCCTGCCCCCTCCTCCTGCCTGTTGAGAGAATCGCCACAGCTCAGCGACTCCTAGGGCCTTGGAAGCGGGGGTTCCCCCTACCAGCCACCCACTGGCTCACTGCCCCCCACAAACACACCAGGCCTGGACCTGTACAATAGGCACTTTATTAGTGGTTGGAATGCAGTTACACGCAGGGGTGTGCAGACGCAATGGGGGCGGGGCTGGCGCAGACACAGGAAATGGGAGACCCCCCTTCTTTCCCCTGGGGTCGGGGGTTCTCCCTCTCCAGGATCCTGGGACAGTGCTGATGAGCAGAGACGTGAAGTCTGAGGGGGCCTTGGAATATGGCAGAGGGGCAACCGGGAAGCTAGGTCCCCTGAGTTCGACAAGTTTGGCAAAAGGATCATCAAGTGAGGTGTGTGGGCAGAGGGGCCCGGTTTGCCCAGGGCATCTGCCCTCCACCTCTCCCCCTGAAATCATCCCTTGGGTGGGTTCAGTTTCTTTCCTCTCTTACAAAGAGAGCTGTGTCAATAACTGGCAGAGGAAGTCGGGAAATTCAGCCTAACTCCCTCCAGCCCAGCAGGTTTCCATTAAACAGCTATTAGCGATCTCCTCTCCAGCCCGCTCTCCACTGCCAACCCCTGCAAGCAAAAGTCTCCCTCCCACTCCCTCCTTCCCAGCCAGGAGATACCCCCCACCTGGGCACACACACCCCCACCCCAGTCACTCCCAGCTAGGAGGGAGGAAAAGGAAGGCACTCCTTGGCGGCCCCATCTCAGCTGTTGAGACAGATGGAAAAAAAGCTAATAGACCCTTTAATGCATGTCCAGGTTAAAAAATAATAATAATAAAGAAATGCTTCTGGTGGCCCTTGAGCCAACTGTTCAGGTATGGAGAAGGGGTTCAGTCCTGGCCACAGCAGGCAGGAATAAACGTGGGTGTTCACTGCGGCCAGCAGCTCCCTCAGACACAAACACCATCCTTCCTGTGGTCTGGCCCGTTGTCATGTAAGCGGGGGGCAGGAAGCATGAGGGAGCTTGCGGAGGTCGGGCCACATGCCGTCCCAGACAGCAAGAGGCCCCACTGGGTTTTTACTCATTTCTCATAGTCTTGAGGGGCAACCATGAAAACTCCAAGTGCCCCTTGGCATAAGAAGGAGATACCCCAGACTCTCCAGGTCCAGAAACTGGTGGGATCTGGCTCATGGGGAGGGGGCAGAGCGGCAGTGATAGGACTTCGGGTGAGCCCAAGGGGCTGGGGTAACAGACCCAGCTACTGAGCACCCTGCGGCGTGAGGCTCCTTGAGAGGTGGGGAGCGCGGGGCCTTCAGGACTCCGCTGCCTTCTTGTTGGTCTTGTTCAAGAGTTTCTTGAGGGTGGAAGACATGAAGTAAGGCCTCTCGGCCGAGCCGTCATTCCTCTCCAGGTCCTCCACTGCGGAGAGAGGTCCCAGAGCAGGAGGCATGAGGGGAGCCCACAGGCAGGGGCCTCTGGGGACAGGGTGGGTGGACAAGGGTCACAGAGAAGCCTCAGAGGGTTAGAAAGCAGACACACTGGGACCAGAGAGGGGCAGACTGTAGTGGGCTCCGAGGAACACACAGGATCCCCACACTCCCAGGCCAGGAAGCCCCCCCGCTTCATGCACCCCCAGTCTACATGGAGGAAACCTAGCCCCCATGCCAGCCTCCCTCACTCTCTACTCCTCGACTTCCGCCCGCTTTCCCTCCTCCGCACTCCCCTTCAACAGGATGTCTCTCAGCTCGGGCGACATGAAGTAGGGTCGCTCCTGAGAGCCGTCATTCCTTTCCAGGTCCTCACCTGGGCTCCCCCCGGGAACCGGCAGGGGGAAAATGGGGTGGTCAGGAAGGGAGGGAAAGAGGGAGGCAGGGAAGAACAGGGAAGCCAGCAGGCATGGAGGAGAGGAAGAGAGACGAAAAAAACAAACAAACAAAAAAAACAGTTGGAGAAACCAGAGTTAGTGGCAGCCACAGATCCTCCCCCATCAAAGCCAGAAACTGCGAAGCGCGGGTGGGCTCCAGGGCAGCGTCCAGGCTGCAGCCTGGACAAGTGGACAGGAAGTTGGAGTTGCTTCTAAGCGCAAAAGGAAACCAGGAAGACAGGCTGGGGACCCAGGACGAGGGACAGCCAAGCCCCGGGGAAGCTGGGGGCAGGCGACCGTGGTGCCCCGTTGGAGGGTGACGTGATGCCCAGTGGGAAGAAGGGATTCGGGGCCCAGCAAGGTTTGGGGTGAGGGGTCACTCACAGAAGCAGAGGAACAGCGTGTCCACACACATGCCATAGACGCTGAAGAAACCATGTGCAATCAGGTAGGAGCCAACGATCACGGTCTGGGCAAGGAGAAACAAGCCGTCCCTGCTCCACGTCCTTCCCAGAGCAGCCCCCACCCACTGTGTCTCTCCTATGCTGGGACCACGTCCTTGCCCTGCTGAGAAACTCTCTTTGGATTAATGACATCCCAACCCCTCACCCCCGCTGGCAGGGCCCCACAATCCACACAAAGCCCTCTTTCTCTCCCTCTTTTTTTTTTTTTTTTTTTGAGACGGAGTCTCACTCTGTCGCCTAGGCTGGAGTGCCATGGCGTGATCTCGGCTCACTGCAACCTCTGTCTCCTCAGACATTCTGCCTCAGCCTCCCGAGGAGCTGGGACTACAGGCGTCTGCCACCACGCCAGGCTCATTTTGTATTTTTAGTAGAGACGGGGTTTCACCATGTTGGCCAGGCTGGTCTCAAACTCCTGACCTCAGGTGATCCACCTGCCTTGGCCTCCCAAAGTGCTGGGATTACAGGCATGAGCCACCGCACCTAGCCTTTTTTTTCCTTGAGACAGGGTCTCACGATCTCACTCTGTAGCCCAGGCTGGAGTGTAGTGGCATGATCTCGGCTCACTGCAAACTCTGCCTCCTGGGCTCAAGTGATCCTCCCACCTCAGCCTCCGGAGTAGCTGGGATTACAGATGTGCACCACCATGCCCGGCTAACCTTTGTATTTTTTGTAGAGATGGGTTTTTGCCACGTCATCCATTACCCTTCCTGGGCTTAAGAGATCCGCCCACCTTGGCCTCCCAAAGTGCTGGGACTACAGGTATGAGCCTCCGCACCCAGTCTCATCCTTGCTTTATTTAACCCCTGGGCCTCTGCATGTGCTATTGCCCTGACTTAAATCTAATTTATGCCTCATCAACCTTCTGCTTTCAGCTCAAAGAGCAAATTCTCAAGTCCCACCTCCTCCAGGAAACCACCTATGACACATAGAGTGGGTTTTTCTTTTTTTTTTTGAGACAGGGTCTCACTGTGTTGCTCAGGCTGGAGTGCAGTGGCACCATCTCAGCTCACTGCAGCCTTGACCTCCCAGGCTCAAGTGATACTCACACCTCAGGCTTACAAGTAGCTGGGACTATAGGCATGTGCCATCATACCCAGCTAATTTTTGTTTTTTTTTTTTTTGTAGAGATGAGGTTTTGCCATGTTGCCCAGGCTGGTTTCAAACTCCTGAGCTCAAACGATCTGCCTGCCTTGGCCTCCCAAAGTGCTGGGATTATACATGTGAGCCCCTGCGTCTGGCTGAGAGCCTTTTTTTTTTTTTTTTCCTGAGATGGAATCTTGCTCTGTCGTCCAGGCTGGAGTGCAGTGGTACAATCTCGGCTCACTGCAACCTCCACCTCCCGGGTTCAAGTGATTCTCTTGCCTCAGCCTCCTGAGTAGCTGGGACTACAAGTATGTGCCAGCACACCTGACTAATTTTTTTTTTTGAGACGGAGTCTTGCTCTGTCGCCCAGGCTGGAGTGCAGTGGCCGGATCTCAGCTCACTGCAAGCTCCGCCTCCCGGGTTCACGCCATTCTCCTGCCTCAGCCTCCTGAGTAGCTGGGACTACAGGTGCTTGCCACCCGCCCGGCTAGTTTTTTTGTATTTTTAGTAGAGACGGGGTTTCACTGTGTTAGCCAGGATGGTCTCGATCTTGCGACATTCATGATCTGCCCACCTTGGCCTCCCAAAGTGCTGGATTACAGGTGTGGGCCACCATGCCCGGCCTCTAGAGCCTATTTTATGTCCTCCTAGCACTGGGCACCCCTCCTGAGCTCTTGGTGCAGCTGCAATTTTATGCATGTTTAGGGCTTTCCAGGTTTAATGCCCACATCCTCACTAGACCCAGTCCCATTTACTGCTACATCCATAGCAATCTGAAGACTCACAGGGCCTTAGTAGCTGCTAGATAAACATTTGTTGACTGAAGTCAGTAGACATGGCTGGGTGTGATGGCTCATATCTGTAATCCTTGTACTTCGGGAGGCTGAGGCAGGAGGATCCCTTGAGCCCAGAGCTCGAGACCAGCCTGGGCAATAGAGGGAGACCCTGCCTCTATTATTATTATTATTATTATTATTATAGTAGAGTGTGAGCTACCACACCCAGCCTATCTCTATTATATTAAAATAAAAATTCGCCAGGTGTGGTGGGTCACGCCTGTAATCCCAGCACTTTGGGAGGCTGAGGCAGGTGGATCACGAGATCAGGAGTTCAAGACCATCCTGGCTAACACAGTGAAACCGTGTCTCTATTAAAAATGCAAAAAAATTAGCCAGGCGTGGTGGCAGGCACCTGTGGTCCCAGCTACCTGGGAGGCTAAGGCAGGAGAATGGCGTGAACTCAGGAGGAGGAGCTTGCAGTGAGCCAAGATCGCGCTACAGCACTCCAGCCTGGGCGACACAGCGAGACTCTGTCTCAAAAAATAAATAAATAAATAAAAATACAAATTCAATACAATGAAATCATGGCCAGGCACAACGGGTCATGCCTGTAATCCCAACACTTTGGAAGGCCGAGGTGGGTGGATCACCTGAAGTCAGGAGTTCGAGACCAGCCTGACCAACAGGGTGAAACCCCATCTCTACTAAAAATACAAAAATTAGCCGGGCACAGTGGCATGTGCCTGTAATCCCAGCTACTAGGGAAACTGAGGCAGAAGACTCGCTTGAACCCGGGAGGTGGAGGTTGTGGTAAGCAGAGATCACTCCATTGCACTCCAGCCTGGGCGACAAAGCAAGGCTCCATCTCAAAAAAAAAAAAAAAAAAGTCAGTGGACCTTAGATGGATTAAATAACTTGCCCGAGATTACTTTTCCTCATCTTAGAACTAGCAAATAGAGGATCTAAGATAAGAAACTAGGTCACTGGGCTTCAAGACCTACATTGAGATACAATACTGCCCTTGCAATGAAGGCTCAATCACTCCACAGCCTTATTACCTCTCTGGCCGTATCGCCACCCTTTTTTTTTTCTTTTGAGACAGAGTCTCACACTGTCACCGAGGCTGGAATGCAGTGTCGTGATCTCGGCTCACTGCAACCTCTGCCTCCCAGGTTCAAGCAATTCTCCTGCCTCAGCCTCCCGAGTAGCTGGGATTACAGGCGCCCGCAACCACACCCGGCTAATTTTTGTATTTTTTTGTAGAGATGGGGTTTCGCCATGCTGGCCAGGCTAGTCTCAAACTCCTGACCTCAAGTGATCCACCTGTCTCAGCCTCCCAAAGTGTTGGGATTACAGGTGTGAGCCACCGCACCCAGTCCCTATCTCCACTTCTTTACTCCTTCCACATCAGCCCCACTGCTTTCCTTACTGTTCCTGGCACACTCACACCTCAGGGCCACTGTACTTGCCGTTCCCTCTGCCTGGATATTGCCTACAGCTTCAGATCTCGGATCCAACATCACCTGCATGGCACCACCTGGACCCCCACATATGCCCAGATCCCCCACCACAGGTTCAAACAGTTCCCTGTGCTATACATACTAGTGGCGTATCCCAGTCTTCAATCATACATTCACCAATATCATTATGGAGGAACATCTGTTTACCCCCAAACTCTAAAGCCTTTAGAGGGAAGCCCTCCACCTCAATGCCGAATACACAGTAGGTGCTCAATAATGTCTGTGGTCCGAGGTCGGGGGTGGTGGGTCACACCTGCAATCCCAGCACTCTGTGAGCCCGAGGCGGGCGGATCACTTGAGGTCAGGAGTTTGAGACCATCCCAGCCAACATGGTGAAACCCCATCTCTATTAAATATACAAAAATTAGCCGGGCGTGATGGCTCATGCCCATAATCCCAGCACTGTGGGAGGCCGAGGCGGGCAGATCACCTGAGGTTGGGAGTACGAGACCAGCCTGACCAACATGGAGAAACCCCGTCTCTACTAAAAATATAAAATTAGTCACACGTGATGGCACATGCCTGTCATCCCAGCTACTCAGGAGGCTGAGGCAGGAGAATTGCTTGAACCCGGGAGGTGGAGGTTGCAGTGAGCCAAGATCACCCCACTGCACTCCAGCCTGGGCAACAAGAGTGAAACTCTGTCTCAAAAAAACAAAAAAAATTAGCCAGGTGTGGTGGTGTGTGCCTGTAATCCCAGCTGATCAGCAGGCTGAGGCACAAGAATCACTTGAACTAGGGAGGTAGAGGTTTCAATGAGCCAAGATAGTTTCACTGCACTCCAACCTGGGCAACAGAGTGAGTCTGTCTCAAAAAAAAAAATAAATAAATAAAGATTAAATTAAATTAAATTAAAATTAAAAAATAAATATACAAAAATTAGCCAGGTGTGGGGGCAGGCGCCTGTAATCCCAGCTACTCGGGAGGCAGAAGCTTGAGAATTCGCCTGAACCCAGCAGGCAAAGGTTGCAGTGAGCCAAGATTGCACAACTGCACTCCAGCCAGGGCGACAGGGCAAGACTCTGATGCAAAAACAAACAAAAAGTTTATGGTCTGAATAAATAATCAATTCCCCACCTCTGACCTCTATCCACATTTATCTAGTCAAAGAAGACCAAGCAAATCCCAACACCTCTTTCTTCTCAAACCCCCATCTGTCCCCAGAGGTCCATACCAGTATAGGAACCCAGTAATAATTGAGGGGTGGTGCTGTATCCTGCACGATCCTGATACGGTGGGTGAAGAAGAAGAAAGCCAGGATCCCTGGAGAAGGAGAAGAAAGCAAGATGGTGAAGGGTTCTGGATATAGGAAATAACCTCCTAAGAAGATGACACCCATCACAGAAGACAGAAATCAGGCTCCCACACCCTGAGAGGCGAGGTGGGCGGCACTCACCCACACTGCCTACGATCAAAAGTTTGCCCAACAGGAAGAGGAAGTCGGTAACTTTGTCCAGGACAGCCACTCTGCAGGGGACAGTGAGGGGCAGGTGTTAATGCTGGCTTCAGGGACTAGGGGAAGAGGGAGGTGGCAGGAGGAAGATGGTGCTGATTCCTGACCTGATGATGTTTCTCATGAGCAGGAAGAAGGCATTCCTGGCTGAGGTGCAGAAATTGGTGCCGTAGATGGCAATCTGGAGGAGAGTGGGAGGGAGAGATCAGACCCACTGGGTGGGCATGGGGGGTGGTCCTCTCACCCAGCAGGAGCTGGTGGGTTGGTTGGGGGTCCCAGGCCCACTCACCATGATGTAGGCATTCCTATTGAGGAATTTGATGAACTTCTCCAGGCACCAGAAGCAGCATTTGAGACAGGTCATGAGGCACTTGGCAAACTTGTTCTCTGCGGCTGGAAGAGAAGGGAAGGGATGCAGAAGTGAGGGGACACCGCCTGACGTGGAAGGGATCCCCTCTTCCCTATCACACACGCTTGCCAATGTCCAGGTCTCCTGAGTCCATGCTGTCAAAGAGACAGGGACTTGAGCCCAGGAGTTTGAGACCGCAGTGAGCCATGATGGTGCCACTGCACTCCAGCCTGGACGACAGAGAGAGATCCTGTCTCTAAAGCAAAGTACAATCAATCCTAGCCCCACAGCCCTTCCTGTAAGAAAAATAAACCCGTTTTTTTTTTTTTTTTTTTCTTTTTTTCTTTTTTTTGAAATGGAGTCTCGCTCTGTTTCCCAGGCTGAAGTGCAGTTGCTCGATCTCGGCTCACTGCAACCTCCACCTCCGGGGTTCAAGTGATTCTCCTCTCTCAGCCTCCCGTGTAGCTGGGACTACAGACGCGCATACCACCATGGCTGGCTAAGTATTTGTAGTAGAGACGGGGTTTCACCATGTTGGCCAGGCTGGTCTCCTGACCTCAGGTGATCCGCTCGCCTCAGCCTCCCAAAGTGCTGGGATTATAGGCGTGAGTCACGGCGCTCAGCTAATAAACCAGTTTTATTCCTGCTCCTTCAGCGCAAATATAGCCCACTCCAATTCACTCTAGCAATAACCAATGGTGGGCCAGGCCTCTTGGGCCTGTCCCCTCAACAGCAAGAATTCCACCCAGTAGGTTCTCTGGTTTGCTCCTCCATCGCAGGACCCAATCACGTCAGCTCCTGAGCTCCCCCGCGGCATAGACAGAAACCCATCACTGCTCTACGATCTTGGCACCGCCCACCTCCAAGCAAGAACCAATCCTGGTTTGCTATTCAGCCTCGCCCGCCAACAGGAGCTAATGCGAGCTGTGGGTGGGCCGTACCTTTCAGCCGCTGATCCAGGTACTCGAGTATCACACGAATGATCTGCACAATGGCCAGGATGAGCGCGCCAAAGGCCAGGGAGCCCGTGTGGTACCTGCGGGCCGAGGGGGTGGTCGGTGGCTGGGCCAGGCCTCGTCCTCCACCCGATCCTGCCCGCAACGCCAGCCCACCTGAGCGCCCGGCCAAAGGCAGAGAAGAGCGGGAAGGCTGGCAGGTCGTCTGGCTTGCGCAGGGCCCAGTAGTAGGAGGCAAAGGCCCCGGCCAGTGTGACCTGACCCAGAGCCAGCACGAAGTTGGCCAGCCAGAAGAACATGAAGGCATTGAAGATCTGCAGGCCCAGCAGGGCCCGGTGGTAGCCCGACTCACCACCGTAGAAGGCGAACTGGCAACGGGCATTGGGGCATAGGCGGGACTCATTGGAGGAGGGGAAGGTCTGTGGGAGAGAAGGGAGAACCGAGTCCAAAAAGAGGTGCCAGGGGTTCGCAGTGGGCTCTGAGCATCAGGTGTGGGGCCAGGAAAACCATGAGGTAGGACAGGAGACATAAGGATCAGAGTTAAGTGAAGGAACTAAGTGTTTGGAACACAGCTTGTGCAAAGGAAGGAATTCTAGAAACAAGAAGTGGCCATCACCAGGGTCAAGAAAAGAGAATGGAGACAGGAAATGAAATGGGGAAAAATGGGCTGGGCAAGGTGGCTCACGCCTGTAATCCCAACACTTTGGGAGGCAGAGGCGGGTGGATCACGAGGTTAGGAGATGGAGACCATCCTGACCAACATGGTGAAACGCTGTCTCTACTAAAAATACAAAAATTTGCCTGGCGTGCTGGTGTGTGCCTGTAATCCCAGCTACTCGGGGGGCTGAGGCAGGAGAATTGCTTGAACCAGGGAGTTGGAAGTTGCAGGGAGCTGAGATCATGCCACTGCACTCCAGCCTGGCGACAGAGTGAGACTCTGTCTCATAAAAAAAAAAAAGAAAAGAGGGAAAAATAGGTGATTTAGCACCCAGGGTGAAGGCCAGGGCAAGTTGAAGACAGGAAGCCAGGTTGTCCTGGGAAGTTGTTCAATCCAGTTAGAGAGTCTCTTCCCCACAGTGCGTTCTTCCCCACACCCAGCACAGGACATGCAGCAGGAGCCAATTGCTTGCTGAACCTCCAAGGGGACGTGAGAGGTTTAAAATCATCCGGGGCCTTCTGGGGCAATACCTGCCCTCCCCACCCTGGGGACGCCCACCTCTGGGTTGCAGGTTTTCGCAGTAAGTGAGCAGGAGCTATCATCAAAGATCTTATAGACCGCTTCATTGGAAGTGGACAGGAAGCTGGAGGTTCATTAAGGAAGCAGAGGTCTAGGACTGAGGACCCCAGGGACTTTCGTGGGAAAGAATCCATTATCCCACCAGTTTCCAGCCCTGTCCCTAAGATGCAGGTCACTTCTGGGCAAAGTTGGTCTTTAGCCATCCCTGGGGCCAGAGATTGGTATCTGGGGGCGGATACACAGCAGTGCTGGCCCAGTAGGCGATGCAGAGGCACAGCAAGAAGAAGGTGACCAGTGGGTAGAGCAAGGAGCACATGACATATCCCACAGCCCTAGGGAGGAGCAGAGACACAGGCATCAGGGCAAAAGACACAACTGTAGGGACAGCTCCATCCTGACCTCTGGCACCCTGGCCCCCACCTGCTGGCTTCTTTGATGAGTGCAATCGCGATGAGAATTCTCTTCCGGAGAAAGATGAGCAGCAAGATGATAATGACTTCAAGGATACTCAGAATGATCACTGCAAAGGGCAAAGGCTGAGCCGCCTGGGCTCCCCACTCCCTCCAAGGCCTCATGTAGGGGCAGGATTGGGAGACTGTGACTCACTAAAGGCCAACCAGGTCTGCCGTAAGTGCAGGTACACCCGGAAATCCGTCTGAAAGCCGAGGTCCACCAAAGAGACATCAGAGCCAGCCTCACCACGCAGTCGGGAGTACTCCATGTAGCAGTGAAAGATTCCTGCATGGGGGAAACCACAAGCTTAGTCCACCAATGCCTCCTGCAACTTTGCAAAGCGCTACAACTGCCCGCATTTAACAGAAGCGAACATCGAGGCTGAGAGGCTGCCTTTTCTAGCCCCTGCTTCAGGGACTTTACACTTGCAGTTCCCACAGCCGGGTGCATTCTCTCCCCATGGCTGGATCCCACACATCTGTAGGTCTCTGCTCAAATGTCACCTTCACAGGAGACCTTCCAGAACCCTTTCCCCCTACTTGGAATCATAATCATGTGCTGCCATGGTCTAACTTCTCTTTTTTTTGAGACGGAGGCTCACTCTGTCACCCGGGCTGGAGTGCAGCGGCACGATCTGGGCTCACTGCAACCTCCACCTCCAGGGTTCAAGAGATTCTCCCTGCCTTAGCCTCCTGAGTAGCTGGGATTACAGGTGCTCGCTACCATGCCCAGCTAATTGTTGTATTTTTTAGTAGAGACAGGGTTTTGCCATGTTGGCCAGGATGGTCTCGAGCTCCTGACCTCAGGTGATCCGCCCACCCCAGCCTCCCAAAGTGCTGAGATTACAGGTGTGAGCCACCATGCCCAGCCAGGATAGCTGTTTAATGAATGAATGAATGAGCAGGTGTCAGGATGCTGCATGGCTAAGACCTCTCTCTGACCCCCTTGCCACCTTATAACAGTGATTCACGGGAGTGGCCTGGGTATTAATATGTAGAGCAGCATTAGAAATTTTCAGCATTCTTCTTAGCTTGCAAACTATAATTATAAAATAAAGACAGGCTTGGCCGGGCGCAGTGGCTCACGCCTATAATCCCAGTACTTTGGAAGGCCAAGGCAGGTGGATCACAAGGTCAGGAGATCGAGACCGTCCTAGCTAACACCGTGAAACCCCGTCTCCACTAAAAATACAAAAAATTAGCTGGGCATGGTGTCACATGCCTGAGACCCAGCTACTTGGGAGGCTGAGGCAGGAGAATCACTCCAACCCGGGAAGGAGAAGTTGCAGTGAACCAAGATTGCGCCACTGCACTGCACTCCAGCCTGGGCGACAGGGTGAGACTCCGTTTCGGAAAAAAAAAAAAAGACAGGCATGGTGTGGTGGCTCATGCTTGTAATCGCAGCACTTAGGGAGATAAAGTAAAAAAAAAAAAATCAAGCTACCTAAAATGCCAACACCCAGCTAGAAACCACTATTTTTTTGGTTGTATTGAGTATATTACTATTACTTTAAGACAGGGTCTACCTCTGTCATTCAGGCTGGACTTCAGTGGTGCCATCATAGCTCACTGCAGCCTCAGCTTCCTGGGCTCAAGCTATTCTCCCACCTCAGCCTCCCAAGTCGCTGAGACTACAGGTGCATACAGCTAAATTTTTTTTCTTTTTTTTTTTGAGACGGAGTCTCTCTCTGTCACCCAGGCTGGAGTGCAGTGGCGCGATCTCGGCTCACTGCTACCTCTGCCTCCCAGGTCCAAGTGATTCTCCTGCCTCAGCCTCCCAAGTAACTGGGACTATAGGCACGTACCACCAAGCCTGGCCAATTTTTTGTATTTTTACTAGAGACGGGGTTTCATCCTGTTAGACAGGATGGTCTCAATCTTCCCTGACCTCCTGATCTGCCCACCTTGGCCTCCCAAAGTGCTGGGATGACAGGCGGGAGCCACTGTGCCCAGCCCCCAGATAATTTAGAAATTATTATTATTATTTATTTATTTAATTTTTTTTTGAGACAGAGTCTCACTCTGTTGCCCAGGCTGGAGTGCAATGGCACGATCTCAGCTCGCTGCAACCTCTGCCTCTCAGATTCAAGAGATTCTCCCGCCTCAGCCTCCCAAGTAGCTGGGATTACAGGCATGCGCCACCATGCCCATCTAATTTTGTATTTTTATTAGAGATGAGGTTTCACCATGTTGTTCAGGCTGGTCTCGAATTCCACCTTAAGTGATCCACCCACCTCAGCCTCCCAAAGTGCTGCCATTACAGGTGTGAGGCATGGTGCCTGGCCTTAAATTTATTTTTGGCAATGGGATCTCACCGTGTTGCCCAGGGTAGAATGCAGTTGCTTGATCATGGCTCACTGCATCCTCAAACTCCTGGGCTCAAGTGAATCTCCTGCTTCAGCCTCCCAAAGTGCTGGGATTACAGGCATAAACCTGCCTAGAAACCACTGTTTTCTTTTTTTTTTAAGACGGAGTTTCACTATTGTTGCCCAGGCTAGAGTCCAATGGCAGAATCTCAGCTTACGGCAACCTCCAACTGGCGAGTTCAAGTGATTCTCCTGCCTCAGCTTCCCAAGTAGCTGGGATTATAGGCATGGGCCACCACGCCCAGCTAATTTTGTATTTTTAATAGAGGTGGGGTTGGCCGGGTGTGGTGGCTCACAACTGTAATCCTAGCACTTTGGGAGGCCAAGGTGGGCAGATCATGAAGTCAGGAGTTCGAGACCAGCCTGACCAACATGGCGAAACTCCATCTCTACTAAAAATACAAAAATACAAAAAAAAAAAAAAAAAAATTAGCTGGGCGTGGTGGTGGGGGCCAGTAATCTCAGCTACTCAGGAGACCGAGGCAGGAGAATTGCTTGAATCCGGGAGGCGGAGGTTGCAGTGAGCTGAGATTGTGCCACTGCACTCCAGCCTGGACAACAGTGCGAGACTCCATCTCAAAAAAAAAATAATAAGGCCGGGCACAGTGACTCACGCCTGTAATCCCAGCACTTTGGGAGGCTGAGGCAGGCAGATCATGAGGTCAGGAGATCGAGACCATCCTGGCTAACACGGTGAAACCCCGTCTCTACTAAAAACACAAAAAATTAGCCGGGTGTGGTGGTGGGCACCTGTAGTCCCAGCTACAAGGGAGGCTGAAGCAGGAGAATGGCGTGAACCTGGGAGACGGAGCTTGCAGTGAGCCGAGATCACACCACTGCACTCCAGCCTGGGTGACAAAGCGAGACTCCGTATCAAAAAAAAAATTAGCCGGGCATGGTGGCAGTCATCTGTAGTCCCAGCAACTTGGGAGGCTGAGGCAGGAGAATGGCATGAACCCAGGAGGCAGAGCTTGTAGTGAGCCGAGATTGCGCCACTGCACTCCAACCTGGGTGACGGAGCGAGACACTGTCTCAAGAAAAAATAATAATAATAATAAAATAAAAATAGAGATGGGGTATCTACATGTTGGTCAGGCTGATCTCGAACTCCCGACTTCAGGTGATCCACCCACCTCAGCCTCCCAAATTGCTGGGATTATAGGCGTGAGCCACCGCACCGGGCTAGAAACCACTATTAATATGAATATTTTACTATAAGTGTCCTCAGATTGGATTACCAAGCATTTTTCTTCTAGGAAAGTTCAAGGAATAATCAAAATATGGGCCGGGCACAGTGGCTCATGCCTATAATCCCAACACTTAGGGAGGCCAAGGCGGGAGGATGGCTCAAGCTCAGGGAGTTCAAAACTAGCCTGGGCCACATAGGGAGAGCCTGTCTCTACAAAAATATTTAAAATTTAGCCAGGCATGATGGTGCATGCCTGTGGTTTCAGCTACTTGGGAGGATCACTTGAGCCCAGGAGGTCAAGGCTGCAGTGAGCTGTGATTATGCCACTGAACTCCAGCCTGGGTGACAGAGTGAGACTCTGTCCCAAAAAACAAATCAAGGCTGGGCATGGTGGCTCACATCTGTAATCCCAGCACTTTGGGAGGCCAAGTCAGGCAGATCACAAGGAAGTTAAGACCAGCCTGGCCAACATGGTAAAACCCCGTTTCTACTAAAAATACAAAAAAAATTAGCCAGGCATGGTGGTGGGCACCTGTAAACCCAGATACTCAGGAGGCTGAGGCAGGAAAATTGTTTGAACCCGGGAGGCGGAGGTTGCAGTGAGCCGAGGCTGTGCCACTGCACTTCAGCCTGGGCGACCGAGACTCTGTCTCAAAAAAAAACAAAAAACAACAACAAAAAAAACCTCAAAAACAACAAAAGTCCAAAATATGAAGCATTGTTTTGTTGAGCACAATATTGTGCCTCTGGATTCCATAGGCCTGAACTAAACAGGCCCCTACACATATTTTATCTGCACATTACCTCCTTGTCATTTAGTTTGCCAACTAGAAATATAAATTACCCTCATTTTACAGAGAAAGAAACTGAAGCAGGCCAGGCATGGTGGTTCATGCCTGTAATCCTAGCACTTTGGGGGGCTGAAGTGGGCAGATCTCCTGAGGTCGGGAATTCGAGACCAGCCTGACCAACATGGAGAAACCCCATCTCTACTAAAAATACAAAATTAGCCGGGTGTGGAGGTGCATGCCTGTAATCCGAACTACTCAGTAGGCTGAGGCAGGAGAATCGCTTGAACCCAGGAGGCGGAGGTTGCAGTGAACCAAGATCACGCCATTGCACTCCAGCCTGGGCGACAAGAACGAAACTCCATCTCAAAAAAAAAAGACCAGCCTGACCAACATGAGAAACTCTATCTCTAATAAAATGGCAAAATTAGCCGGGTGTGGAGGTGCATGCCTGTAATCCGAACTACTCAGTAGGCTGAGGCAGGAGAATCGCTTGAACCCAGGAGGCGGAGGTTGCAGTGAACCAAGATCACGCCATTGCACTCCAGCCTGGGCGACAAGAACTAAACCCATCTCAAAAAAAAAAGAAAGAGGCCAGGCACGGTGGCTCACACCTGTAGTCCCAGCACTTTGGGAGGCAGAGGCAGGTGGATCAATGGTCAGGAGATTGAGACCATCCTAACACGGTGAAACCCCGTCTCTACTAAAAATTCAAAAAATTAGCCAGGCATGGTGTCGGGTGCCTGTAGTCCCAGCTACTTGGGAGGCTGAGGAGAATGGCTTGAGCTCCGGGAGGCAGAACTGCAGAGCAGAGATCGCGCCACTACACTCCAGCTCAAGGAGAGGAGACTAGGTCTCAAATAAAAATAAAAAAGAGGTTGGGCGCGGTGGTTGCCTGGGATCCCAGCACTTTGGGAGGCCAAGACGGGCGGATCACGAGGTCAGGAGATCAAGACCATCCTGGTTAACATGGTGAAACCCTGCTCTCAGTAAAAAAATACAAAAAAAATAGCCGGGCGGTAGGTGGCGAAGGCCTGTAGTCCCAGTTAGGAGCTGAGGCAGGCAGAGCTTGCAGTGAGTTGAGATTCAAGCCATTGCACTCCAGCCTGGGCGACAGAGCGAGACTCCGCCCCAAAAAAAAAAAAGAAATTGAAGCACAGTTAGGTTGGAGGCACTTGCTCAAGGAATTGGCAAAGCCAGGATTTGAACCTCTGCTATTCTGGTACCATAGTATGCATCCAATCATTACAGCGCTGAGACATTTTTTCTTTTTCTTTTTTTTTTTGAGACGGAGTTTCGCTCTTGTTGCCCAGGCTGGAGTGCAATGGCTGAACTCGGCTCACTGCAACCTCCGCCTCCCAGGTTCAAGCGATTCTCCTGCCTCAGGCTCCCTAGTAGCTGGGATTACAGGTATATACTACCATGCCCAGCTAATTTTGTATTTTAAGTAGAGATGGGGTTTCTCCATGTTGGTCAGGCTGGTCTCGAACTCCTGACCTCAGTGATCTGCCCGCTTTTGGCCTGGGCAAGGCTGGGATTACAGGTGAGCCACCGCACTCCAGCCTGACATTTTCTTTTTCTGATGGCCATTTCCATGGAAAGTGGGGCAGGGCAGTATGCAGATTCAGGAAAGAGGAGTCACGGGGAGGCAACTGCATCGCAGCCCGAGCACCAGAATCACCATAATGATCATCACCCAGACCACAATACCAGCCAGAGTTTATATGATGATGAATGAGAGCCCTACTGCTACAGTAATGACTGTGCCCTCTGGGGAAAAGAAAATGGTCATGAACAGATCTAATTTCAGCTAGGTTTAGATGGGTGCTAGGAGGCTCTTCCTCTCTGACTTGCCATGATAATCCAATACCAAGAGACGGGTGTAACTTCAAATATGCGTGATGGCGAGTTGCCGTGCCTCTAGGACTCCATTGGCTTTCCCAGGAAGGGAGATCGAGGCCTGATCAGACCTCTTCTGTGATCAGGTCAACCCCAGGGGATGCCTGTCCCACCCAGGAAAGTGCGAATTCGTGGAAAGCGCCTAATCTCCTCACTTAGCGTCTTCTCCCACCAGGTCTGTGACGCTTTTTCCGGGAGCCATGCCCATCCTCATGTCGTTCCATTGCCCACCATCAGGACACCCTTGTGGGCGGGATGGCGGGAAGCATTCTCACTGCATGGAGCAGAGGATGGACCAGTCAGGCTGAGCTCTCTGCACAGCCTCCCGTCCCCACCTGAGTCTCCTGGGATCCTGACTCACAGGGTTTGCTGGGATGAGACAGCAGGGCAGTCACCATCTCGGCACCTCAGCTACTCCCTGCCAAGAGAGATGGGAGGGAGGTGAGTCCCTGCTAGTACACTGCCGTTGCCCATACTCTGCTCTCAGGACAGCTCCATAACTCACTTTATTGTCCTTGAAGCCAGGAACACAGAACTGCTTATAGTACTCAAAGTCCCGGGAGCTGCGAGACCCAGGTACGTGAGGTAGCGTCGCCATTTTTCCACGCAGATCTGGGAGTGGGAGAAGGGGCGCATTGGGTGGGGTTGGGACAGACCACTCAGGACAGGAGGTCCCAGCCCACATTCACAGGGGGAAAAGGATGGGAAAGTGGGGAGAGGAAAAGGAATGTGGTGGGGGCCAGGTTACCTGGGGAGTGGGACATTGAATTCCAGCAGAACCAGGCTGGCACATTTCATAATGTTGAAATAAAACAAGTAGGTTTGTTCCTGGAGTTGAGAAGGAGAGTGGAAAACTGTTAAGACTTCTTCTTTTTTTTTTTTTTTTTTTTGACGAAATCTCACCTCTTGTTGCCCAGGATGGAGTGCAATGGCACGATCTTGGCTCACTGCAACCTCCGCCTCCTGGGTTCAAACGATTCTCCTGCCTCAGCCTCCCAGTAGCTGGGATTACAGGTGCCCGGCTCAAGCCTGGCTAATTCTGTATTTTTAGTAGGAGATGGGGTTTCAACCATGCTGGCCAGGCTGGTCTCAAACTCCTGACCTCGGGTGATCTACCTGCCTCGGCCTCCCAAAGTGTTGGGATTATGGGTGAGCCACCACGCCCAACCTGTTAAGACTTCTTAACCACCCTATAGTAAACTTTATTTTATTTATTTATTTTTTTTAAGACAGAGTCTCGCTCTCTGTCACCCAGGCTGGAGTTGCAGTGGCACAATCTCGGCTCACTGCAAGCTCCGCCTCCCGGCTTCAAGCAATTCTTCTGCCTCAGCCTCCTGAGTAGCTGGGACTACAGGTGCCTGCCATGATGCCTGGCTAATTTTTGTATTTTTAGTAGAGACATGGTATTACTGTGTTAGCCAGGATGGTCTCAAACTCCTGACCTCAGGTGATCCACCCGCCTCGACCTCCCAAAGTATTGAGTGGCATGCGTAAGTCCCTGTGCCCAGCCTCTTTTTTTTTTTTTTTTTTTTTTTTTTTTTTGAGACAGTCTTTCTCTGTTGCCCAGGCTGGTGAGCAGTGGCGGCCACCTTGGCTCACTGCAGCTCTAGTGACACTGGCCTGGTGATCTCCTCCACTATCCTCCTGAGCACCTGGGACTACAGACGCAGTAACCACACCCAGCAATTTTTGTATTTTTGTAGTGACAGAGTTTCACCATGTTGCCCAGGCTGGCATCGTTAATCCTTCCTTTATTGGGATTACAGGCATGAGCCACTGTGCCCGGACTGTTGTTTCCTTTAAGATATTTTCTGTGACTGGGCATGTTAGCTCACATCTGTAATCGCAGCACTTTGGGAGGCCAAGGCAGGTGGATCACCTGAGGTCAGGAGTTCGAGACCAGCCTGGCCAACATAGAGAAACCACATCTCTGCTAAAAATACAAAAAAATTAGCTGGGTGTGGTGGCGGGCACCTGTAATCCCAGTTACTTAGGAGGCTGAGGCAGGAGAATTGCTTGAACCTGGGTGGCAGAGGTTGCAGTGAGCCAAGATTGCACCATTGCACTCCAGCCTGGGCGACAGAGTTAGACTCTGTCTCAAAAAGAAAAAAAAAAGATGGGTTGGGCATGGTGGCTCACACCTGTAATCCCAGCACTTTGGGAGGCCGAGGCGGGTGGATTTGACGGTCAGAGATCGAGATCATCTCATAACACGGTGAAACCCTTTGCTTTGTTAAATATAAAAAATTAGCCGGGTGGTGGCGGCACCTGCAGTCCCAGCTACTCGGGAGGCTGAGGCAGGAGAATGGCACGAACCCGGGAGGCGGAGCTTGCAGTGAGCCGAGATGGTGCCACTGCATTCCAGCCTGGGTGACAGAGCGAGACTCCGTCTCAAAAAAAAAAAAGGTATTTTATATAGGCCAGGCAGGGTGATTTAGGCCTGTTCTATGCCAGCACTTTCAAGGCCCAGGTGGCAAGATTGCTTGAGCCCAGGAGTTCCAGGCTGTAGCGAGCGCCATGATCCTGCCACCGGCTGACAGAGTGAGACATACTATGTCAAGATAATAATAATAATAATAATAATAGTAATAATAGGCTGGGTGTGGTTGCTCACACCTGTAATCCCAGCAGTTTGGGAAGCCAAGGCAGGTGGATAACCTGAGGTCAGGAGTTCAAGACCAGCCTGACCAATATGCTAAAACCCTATCTCTACTAAAAACAATAAAGTTAGCCAGGCATGGTGGCATGTGCCTGTAATCCCAGCTACTCGGGAGGCTGAGACAGGAGAATCACTTGAACCTGGGAGATGGAGGTTGTAGTGAGCCGAGATTGCGCCATTGCACTCCAGCCTGGGTAATAAGAGCGAAATCCGTTTCACAATAATAATAATAATAATAATAATAATTTAAAAACTGCAGCATCAGCAACTTAATGCCAGGTGCCATTCTTTTTTTTTTGAGATGGAGTCTTGCTCTCGTTGCCCAGGCTGGAGTGCAGTGGCATAATCTCAGCTCACTACAACCTCTGCTTCCCAAGTTCAAGCAATTCTCCTGCCTCAGCCTCCCGAGTAGCCGGGATTACAGGCACATACCACAATGCCCAGATAATTTTTTTGTATTTTTAGTAGAGACGGGGTTTCACCATGTTGGCCAGGCTGGTCTTGATCCTCCCACCTCAGCCTCCCAAAGTACTGGGATTATAGGTGTGAGTCACCGTGCCCAGCGATGCCAGGTGGCATTCTAAGCTCTGTACATGTATTGGCACATCTAACCATCAAAATAGCCCCATGAGGGTGGGACCGTTATGATCCTCATTTTAGAGATAAGGAAAACGAGGTACAGAGAGATTGAGACACCTGCCCTAGGTCACAGAGCCAGGAAGTGATGCCACTCAGGCTGTGCTTGCTCTGTTGTCTCACCTGTACATCACCACCTGATGTCTGATCCAGGACTGTCCCCTCTCAGTCTCTCCCGCCCTTAAAATGTGCACTGCCAGAGAACAGGATGTTTACTATCTCATTTAGAGCTGTGTGTCCCCAAGGACTAGACTAGTGGCTGAGGGTGATGGAACTTTTATCAGTACTTGTTTTCTTGTTGTTTTGTTGAGACCAGGTCTCGCTCTGTCGTCCAGGCTGGAGTTCAATGGTACAATCAAACCTTACTGCAGCCTTGGCCTCCCAGCTCAAGCGATCCTCCTACCTCAGCCTGCTGGGTAGCCGGGACCAGAGGGGCGACCCCACCACGTCCACCTAATTTTTGTTTGCTTTTTTTTTTTTTTGAGACAGTCTTGCTCCATCGCCCAGGCTGTAGTACAGTGGCACGATCTCACTCACTGCAAGCTCCGCCTCCTGGGTTCACTCCATTCTCCTGCCTCAGCCTCCTGAGTAGCTGGGATTACAGGTGCCCGCCACCACGCCCGGCTAATTTTTTGTATTTTTTTTTTTTTTAGTAGAGACGGGGTTTCACCGTGTTGGCCAGGATGGTCTCGATCTCCTGAACCCATGATTTGCCCGCCTTGGCCTACCAAAGTGCTGGGATTACAGGCGTGAGCCACCGCGCCCAGCTGTTTGTCTGTTTTGAGACTGAGTCTCGCTCTGTCCCCCAGGCTAAAGTGCAGTGGCGTGATCTCGGCTCACTGCAACCTCTGCCTCCTGGGTTCAAGTGATTCTCCTGCCTCAGCCTCCCAAATAGCTGGAATTATAGGTGTGTGCCACCACGCTCGGCTAATTTTTGTATTTTTAGTGGAGACAGGGTTTCGCCATGTTGGCCAGGCTGGTCTTGAACTCCTGGCCTAAAGCAATACTCCTGCCCCGGCCTCCCAAAGTGTTGGAATTTCGGGCGTGAGTCACTGCGCCCAGCCTGTAAGCACTTGTTAAGTAGACTTAGGGAGATGGGGAATGCCTAGAACCTTCTGCCCCCTCCTCCCTAGCCCCCCGCCAGGCCCCAAGGAGTCAACTCACTCGTTTTTTGTGCCCTTCTGCCCACAGAACTCGCCCCGGCTATCAGTAGGGTAGATCACCTTTCGAGGGTCTCCATGAGTCCAGGCTGTGGAAAGATCCAGGGATACTGAGACACTACCACTCCTGAGATCCAGCCGTGTTCCCACTCCAGAGGCTATGGCTGCCTCCGCCCACCCTGGAACTCCAAGTCCTGCCCCGTTCTCTACTCACCTATAATGCCGACAGCCACGTAGCCCACAATGGCCAGGAGCAAGAATACACAGCATATGACGTCCGTGCAGCCCCTGGGGAGCAGAGGGGCAGCGTTTGGAGAAGCCTTGGTGCCACGTGCACCAATGGGCCCATCTGTCCTCTGCAAACACCCTCATTCATGTATTATTTGGACAAATTTTCCTGAGTGGTTTGAATGCCGTACCAAAGGCACATGCATTTTTATTTTTATTTCATTTCATTTTTTAATTTTGTGCAATAGAGTCTCACTCTGTCATCCAGGCTGGAGGACAGTGGCACGATCATAGCTCACTACAGCCTCGAACTCCTGGGCTCAAGCAATCCTCCTGCCTCAGCTTCCCAAGTAGTTGAGACTACAGGTGCACATCACCATACATTTTTTAAAATTTATATATATTCTGTAGAGATAAGGTCTAGCTATGTTGCCCAAGCTAGTCTTTTTTTTTTTTGAGAGGGAGTCTCACTCTGTTGCCCAGGCTGGAGTGCAGTGGCACAATCTCAGCTTACTGCAACCTCTACCTCCCAGATTCAAGCAATTCTCCTGCCTCAGCCTCCCAATTAGCTGGGATTATAGGTGCCCACCACCACGCCTGGCTAATTCTTGTATTTTTAGTAGAGACAGGGTTTCACCATGTTGGTCAGGCTGGTCTTGATCTCCTGACCTCAAGTGATCCACCTACCTTGGCTTCCCAAAGTGCTGGTATTATAGGTGTGAGCTACCGTGCCTGGCTGCATTTTATTTTTTTGTTATTATTTTTTCGAGACAGAGTCTCACTCTTGTTGTCCAGGCCGGAGTACTGTAGAGCAGTCTCAGTTTACTGCAACCTCCACCTCCCAGGTTCAAGTAATTCTCCTGCCTCAGTCTCCTGAGTAGCCTCTGAGTAGTCACAGCTACTTGGGAGGCTGAGACAGGAGAAGTGCTTGAACCGGGAGGGGAAGGTTGCAGTGAGCTGAGTTTGCACCACTCCACCCTGGGTGACAGAATGAGACTCTATCTCAAAAATAAATAAATAAACAAAAAATACGAACATGGTAAAAATTAAATCCAGGCCAGATGTGGTGACTCACACCTGTAATCCCAGCACTTTGGGAGGCCAAGGCAGGTGGATCGCTTTGAGGCCAAGAGATCGAGAACAGCATGGGCAACACAGCGAAACATCTCTGCTAAAATTACAACAACAACAAAAAATTAGCCGGGCGCACGCCTGTAATCCCAGCTACTCGGGAGAATGAGGTGGTAGAACTGCTTAAACCTGGGAGGTGAAAGTTGCAGTGAGCCGAGATCTTGCCACTGCACTCCAGCCTGGCGACAGAGCAAGACTCCGTCTCAAACAAACAAAACAAGTTTCAAATATTTATCACCAGTCTGTTGGAGAACAGATCGGGGGTGGGGGTGTGTGAAGAGACAGGGATTGGGGTAGTATTAGCAGGGAGAACCCTCCAAAACCCAAAGCCCTTACCTATTGTAAATAGGTCCTTTGAAAGTGGGATCATACTTCTGCGGCGTTCCTGAAAGTCAAAAAGATTGATGGGGTTGGAGACCTGAACCAAGACAGGGCTGGGAGAGCGCCCCCCTCCCAAAAGCCCCTAGGGGTGTCTTTGCCTCGGCAAGAATGAATTTCAGAGACCTGTGGAATTCTCTGCCTCACCCACCTCCAGGTGACCACACCCAAGCCCCCAGTTCTGGCAGGCCAGGACAGGGGAGGAAGGAGGAATCACTAATTGTGAACAAATTTATTAACTGGCGGCCACCCACTGGTAAGAGGGCTGAAATGGTGGCCACCAGGGAACTAGGTGGAGACGGGGAAGGTCTGAGATGGGATAGGGGGAAGGGGGCGCTGGCAGCAGTGCCAGGCAGAGGGCTACAGGGGCAGGTCCTTTGGGTGGGGAAGAGTAAGGAGGGTCGTCTGCGAGGCTCCGGGGGAAAAGTGGGGTAAGGGGGGCTGGCTGATGGTAGGGAGGCTCCAGGCGCAGATTCGCAATTGCGCTCCCCCTCCAGCCCCCTTCCCTGCGCCCCATGTCCTCTCGAGGCCCCCACCGAGGGGCCGAGGGGTCGGCCCGGGGCTGCGGGCGGGGGTCGCTGCCTACCGTGTTTCCCGTAGTAGTGGGGCCGCTCGTCCCCCATCCCTGCAGGCGACCAGCCCCGGCGGCCGCCCGCGCTCTCTCCCGCGCCCCCTGGGCCCTCCCGAGTCTGGAGGGAGGCACTGACCGCGCGACTGGCGGCGGCTCCTCCCAGCACAGCGCCAGGCGGGGCGGCCCAAACCGGTCAGACCGGCCCAAGCTGGGCAGCTGCCCAGACTGTGGGACCCGGGAGGGCGCGGGCGGGGCGGCAGCTGCTCCCGCCACTCACCGGCCGGCCGGATTTAGCCCTCCCCGCCCCCACCCGAGAACCCTGCGGCTTCACCCCGGGAACACCCCGCCACCGGGCGACACCGCCCAAAACCCCTAGCCACCCTGAAAGAGCGTTTCTGTGGCTCCGTTTTGCAGGTGTGGAAACTGAGGCACTGGGAGGGAAAACGGCCCACGGCCCAAACCCAGACAACCAACTGTGGAGTGTTGGGGCTGAAAACTTCTCCAACCTGTGCAGGAAATGAGTTTTCTTTTTGTCTGCTTTTTTTTTTTTTTTTTTTTTTGAGACAGGATCTCCCTCGGTTGCCCAGGCTGGAGTGCAGTGGTGCAATCACAGCTCATGGCAGTCTAAACTTCCCGTCTCAAGCCATCCTCCTGACTCAGCCTCCCGAGTTAGTGGGGCTACAGGTGCTCTACTGCACTCGGCTAATTTTTAATTTTTTTTGTAGAGATGGGATCTTGCTATGTTGCTCAGGCTCATCTTTAACTCCTGGACTCGTGGGCTCCTCCCACCGTGGCCCCCCAAATTGCACTACTGGGCCTGGCCTTAGAACAAGCATTTATTCAGCCCTTAGTGGGTACAGGCCTTGGGCGGGGCACCACATACAGTGAGGAACCAGAGAGACCCAATCTCCACCCTTTTGAAGCCCACATCCTCCTGGGTCGCCCTTAATTCAAATGCTCCTTCTGCACCCTCTGAACTAGAAGATACTTAAAAAGGCCTTATCTTCCCTAAGCCTCAGTTTCCTCAACTGCAAAATGAGGCTAAAATATGAAACCAAAACTGACCTCGAAGAGAAGGCATAGGCCAGGCACGGTGGCTCATGCCTGTAATCCCAGCACTCTGGGAGGCTGAGGTGGGTAGATCACCGGCAATCAGGGGTTCGAAACCAGCCCGGCCAACATGGCAAAACCCCTTCTCTACTAAAAATACAAACATTAGCCAGTGTGGTGGCACATGCCTGTAATCCCAGCTACTTGGGAAACTGAGGCAGGATAATCGCTTAAACCCAGGAGGTGGAGGTTGTAATGAGCCAAGATCACCTCACTGCACTTCAACCTGGGGGACAGAGTGAGACTCTGTCTCAAAAAAAAAAAAAAGAAAAAAGAAAATAGGCTGGGCGTCGTGGCTCACTCCTGTAATCCCAGCAATTTGGGAGGCCAAGGTGGGCAGATCGTGAGGTCAAGAGATCAAGACCATCCTGGCTAACTTGGTGAAACCCCATCTCTACGAAAAATACAAAAATTAGCTGGGCATGGTGGTGCGCACCTGTAGTCCCAGCTACTTGGGAGGCTGAGGCAGCAGAATCACTTGAACCCAGGAGGCGGATGTTGCAATGAGCCAAGATTGCGCCACTGCACTCCAGCCTGGGTGACAGAGCAAGGCTCTGTCTCAAAAAATTAATTAATTAATTAATTAATTAATTAAATTAAAAAACAATCTAAAAAAAGAAAAACACTGCATAGATCAGGCATGGCATACCAGGGGTATACACTTAGTATCAGGGTTCACAGTTGGCAATAGGTATGCTGTATGATCACTGTAATGGTGTTCAATCAACATAGGGGTACAGAGCAGGTATGGGGTGCCGCAAGTATGGGGCATATGGTCAGAGAAGCCACAGGTAACATGGATGTATATAATTATCACAGAGGCACTTAATCTGTTTGTGGGTGTATAGTAGGGGTGAAGGGTATACAGTTTGTGTGAGGTATACAGCCATCATGGGTGTATACTATGGGAGTATACCAGCATGGTACAGCTGGCTGCACCCCCCATGCCTACTGTATACCCCCATGCCTACTGTATACCCCTACACCAACTTTCCACCCACATGCCGATTATATACTCCTTTGCGTACTAAAACTGGTCTCACTGGTTGGGTGCTATGGCTCATGCCTATAATCCCAGCACTTAGAGAGGCCAATGTGGACAGACTGCCTGAGGTCAAGAGTTCGAGACCAGTCTGGTCAACATGGTGAAATCCTGTCTCTACTAAAAATACAAAAATATTAGCCGGGCATAGTGATGTGGGCCTGTAATCCCAGCTACTCGGGAGGATGAGGCAGGGGAATTGCTTGGGCCAGGGAGGTAGAGGTTGAGGGAGCCGAGATTGCACCACCGCACTCCAACCTGTGCTACAGAGTGAGACTCTGTCTCAAAAAACAAATAAAAATTAAAAAATAAAATACAACTGGTCTCACTGTATCTCCCAACTTTTGTGTGTGTGTGTGTTTTGAGACAGAGTCTTTCACCCAGGCTGAAGTTCAGTAGCGTAATCTCGACTCACTGCAACCTCCACCTCCCGGGTTCAAGCAATTCTCCTGTCTCAGCCTCCAGAGTACCTGGGATTACAGGCGCGTGCCATAACACCCGGCTAATTTTTGTATTTTTAGTAGAGACGGTGTTTCACCATGTTGGCCAGAATGGTCTCAAAACTCCTGATCTCAGGTGATCCACCCACCTTGGCCTCCCAAAGTGCTGGGATTACAGGCATGAGCCACTGAGCGCAGCCAGTATCTCCCAACTTTGAGGCTGCTTGTGAATTTATTTATTTGTATTATTATTATTTTTAAAAATAGAGATGGGCTGGGCGCGGTGGCTCACGCCTGTAATCCCAGCACCGTGGAAGGCCAAGGCGGGCAGATCATCTGAGGTCAGGAGTTCAAGACCGGCCTAGCCAACATGGCAAAACCTTGTCTGTACTAAAAATACAGAAATTAGCTAGGCGTGGTGGTGGGCACCTGTAATTCCGGATACTGGGGAGGCTGAAGTAGGAGAATTGTTTGAACCTGGGAGGTGGAGGTTGCAATGAGCCGAGATTATGCCACTGTACTCCAGCCTGGGCGACAGAGCGAGACTCTGTCTCAAAAAACATAAAATACAATACAATAAAAATAGAGACAGGATCTCACTGTGTTACCCAGGCTAGTCTCAAACTCCTGGCCTTAAGCAGTCCTCCCACCTCAGCCTCCCAAAGTGCCGGGATTGCAGGCATGCACCGTGCCGCAACCTGCCCCTCCTTGAATATTTATAGATATTTATAGTGCAGCCGATTATTTGGTTAACATGTGTTATACAGGAGGCATGGAGGTATCCTCAGCAGGAATATACATTTAGTGTTGGGAGTACACAGACAGCATGAGGTTATACAGTCAGCGTGATCATATACAGTTGGTGTCCAATAATTGTTGCTGCTGCCTTAGACTCTAGGACTCGCAGGCAGGATTCTGGTCACTAACTCAGCTTATCCTTAAAAAGGCTCCCTCTCAGCCGGGCATGGTGGCTCACGCCTGTAATTCCAGCACTTTGGGAGGCCGAGACGGGCGGATCACGAGGTCAGGAGATCGAGACCATCCTGGCTAACACGGTGAAACCCCGTCTCTACTAAAAATACACAAAATTAGCCGGGCGTGTTGGCAGGAGCCTGTAGTCCCAGCTACTCGGGAGGCTGAGGCAGGAGAATGGCGTGAATCCGGGAGGCAGAGCTTGCAGTGAGCTGAGATCGCACCACTGCACTCCAGCCTGGGCGACAGAGCAAGACTCAGTCTCAAAAAAAAAAAAAAAAAAAAAAAAAAAAGGCACCTTCCTCCTAGTTGCCTCCAGCAGAGGGGCCCTGTCTAAACACCTGAACCACAGGCGAGGCCCGAGGCACCAACTCATGCCCTGGGGTGACCCAGACTCTGAAAGAAGCCCTTGGTTCCCTGTGGTTCTCGAAGTCTCTGGCAGCCCAAAGGCTAGCTGGTCCCACCCTACCCATTCCAAGCAGCGGACAAAGAGAGTGAGCCACAGGCCTCTTCTGTTCCCAACTACACGGGGTGCCCTGGGGACATTTTATTCAGGTCCCACCCACCAGTTTCACACTGAGGAATCCTAAAAATTGAGCCCTCAGGAAACCCTTGTCTCTGAGCTGCACACCCATATGACATCTGTCTCCCCCCAACACATGTGGGCATCTCATACTCAGTGCGGCGGCACCCAAGCTTTTTTTTTTTTTTTGAGACACAGTCTCCCTCTGTCACCCAGGCTGGAGTGTAGTGGGGCAATCTCGGCTCACTGCAAGCTCCACCTCCCGGGTTCACGCCATTCTCCTGCCTCAGCCTCCCGTGTAGCTGGGACTACAGGCGCCCGCCACCTCACCTGGCTAATTTTTTGTATTTTTAGTAGAGACGGCGTTTCACCATGTTAGCCAGGATGGTCTCGATCTCCTGTCCTTGTGATCCACCCGTCTCGGCCTCCCAAAGTGCTGGGATTACAGGCGTGAGCCACTGCACCCGGCCGCTTTTTTGTTTTTAAGACAGGGTCTCACTCTGTCACCCAGGCTGGAGTGCAATGGCACAATCACAGATCACTGTGGCTTTGACCTCCTGGGCTCAAGCGATCCTCCCACCTCAGCCTCCAGAGTAGCTGGGACCACAGGCATGCACCACCACACACAGGTAATTTTTTGTATTTTTAGTGGAGACAGGGTCTCACAGTGTTGCCCAGGCTGGTCTAGAACTCCTGGCCTCAGGGATCCTTCCAACTGAGCCTCCCAAAGTGCTGTAATTATAAGTGTGAGCCACCGCGCCTGGCCTGCCCAAGCCTCTGATTATCCAGTGACTCAGCTCCATCCTCCCACGTGCTCCGGCCAGGAACCTGGGCTACCTCTCTGCTTGCCTTCAGAGCTATCCAGAATCCAACCTCTTCTCACCTGCTCCTCAAGCACCCACCCTTTCACACAGCCCTGTGATCTCCCGCCTGGACCAACACAGACACTTTCTATTGTGCCTATAGTGGCCAGAGACATCCGTGCACACATAAGTCAGGGCACATCCCTGCTCTGCTCAGAAACCTCCATGGTTCCCACCTCATTCTGAGGAAAAAGCCCAACTCTTTGCCACAGCCCACAAGGCCCTGCATGATCTGTCCTATCACCTTCCTGCCCTCACCCGCTTCCTCTCTCTCCATGGTTTACTCTGTTCCAGCCTCACTGGCCTCCTGGGTACGTCCCACACTCGGCAGGCATGGTCCGACCTCAGGGCCTTTGCACTAGCTGCTCGGTCCCTCTGCTTCGAATGCTCTTCTCCCAGACGTCCATACAAACTCCACTGCTTTCAGGCCTCACCTGAAATACCACCTTGACAGGGCGTGGTGGCTCACACCT